CCCCCCCCCCCGCTTCCTGTCTTAGGACAAAGTGCAGAAACCCCCTCCCCCAATTTCCCAGTACAGTCAGAAGGGTTAGAACTTATGTTAGGTTCTTATTACTGTCTGTATTGGCTAGAGTCAATATGCTTTAATAAGCAAGCAAAGACTACAATAAGGGCTTGTTAATGCAAGTCGCACAGTAAAGGCAACATTTTGCTGTGTAGCTTGTGTCCACAGAACGGCCGCGGTGAGCCGCAGTACCTTGCACTGTTTCCTTTTTTTCCCCTCAATTCTATTTGTACACTCCACTTAACATTGCGCTATCCAGTAGCAGCCAGTGCACTGTGGAAAAATGCAGTATGTATGCATTTTACCACAGTCCATCACAGCTGCGTCATGGTGTGAATGGGGGAACATAGAAAACAACTGGAGTTAATCCAGTGCTGGAAAACGCCAGTTACTGCTGCATGCGTAACAGACACAAAAATGATTAAATGTGTATGCATCAGTATTTATTAATTTGTGCTACTTCTGTAAAGTTATCCGGCACAAAGAGCATTCATAGAAAAAAAAACAAAAAAAAAGGGAAAAGAGGACACAATGGTAGGGGGATTAATCAAAACCAGAGCAGACAAAATCTAGGAGCAGTTGCCTATGACAACCAATCAGCTTTTCTCATCAGTTTGTTTAGTTAAGCTTTGTAAATGAAAGATAGAAGCGGATTGGTTGCCACGGGGGACTGCTCCAGATTCTGTCTGCTACAGTTTTAATAAATTCCCGTCAAAGTGCGCAACTGTAAGAGGACGCAGGGCATGTTGAAGTCAACCCCACCAAATCCAGATGTGCAGCCGAGTACACATATTACTAGAGATGCACCGATAACGTTTTTTCAATATCAAGTACCGATATTTTTTTACCGGTACTCGCCGATACCGGAAGTCCCTTTTGGGTGACGAGGAAGCATGGCGCCAGCTTTCTAGCCAATCAGGAAGCCAGGGGGCAGGTAATGACTTGAAGCCTGGCTTCCTTATTGGCCAGCTTCCTGACCAATCAGGAAGTCAGGTGGCGAGTCATTACATGGTGCCCGGCTTCCTGATCGGCAGGGAAGCCGGCTCCATGCTACCACGTCACCTGCAGCCAACTTTTCGGCCAATCAGGAAGGGAGGGGGGGTGAATGACTTGCCAGCCGGATTCCAGATTGGCTAGTTTCCCAACCACTCAGGAACCTGGG